TTTCCACCACGGAACTATTCATCCAGATTGTGAACGGTTCGCTGGTTGCGCACAAAGTGGCAAAGAAGTAGGGAACTGGAACCATGCTTGCTGGGAAGACGGCATGTTTGTCATCTCAATTGAACTTTGGAGAGTAGAGAGCATGAGAGCCTCAATTCTTGCTTCGTTATTCGTCTTAGATGTTGTTGATCTTTGCTATGGTTCTTCTAAGCCTCTTAATTTGCATTACTGCATGCATTATCCTCTAGTCTTGACCTCGTGTTGGTATACTGGCCTGTACACAGTGACAAAATTGATGTGTAATCTAGCAGATTCTCTCTTCCAAACGCAATCCCATCATCTTCGATTCCCCTCCTTTTTCTACGGTGGACTTCATTGCGCACTGTCTTCAGTGTTTGGACAGGAGTGTAATGGCAGATGAGTCCAAATATTGGTCTTGCTACATGAAGATTCCCGAGTAAGAGAGCCAGGACGGTGAAAGTTTTACACATGTGGTACTTCACAGAGGTGATGAAGTTATGCATGGCATTGAGGCAGCGTCTCCAATGTCCTTGAGCTCCGAGAATGTGCAAAAATTACATATATGGCTAGAGATTCTTTCAGCAGAAGTTTCTAAAGATTTAAGAATCCAGGCTTAGCGACTGAGTTTCTGTTTATAGAATGTTATCGTCAACATAGTGAACGATCTTGAGGGTGACCAAGAACTGAGCAAAGACCTAGCAGAAACCGTCAGGCTGCGTGTGATCCGTTAGCCACTGCAGGTGGCATTGGAAACGCTTGCTCCGGCTTTGTCAGGATTGTAATATTTTTTCTCAAGACTGAACGTGCATCGCACATAATTAGGATAGTTTTGAAAGCCTCTGGGTTTTAGAGAAGGCTTTTGAGCTGTGCTTTAAAGAAGAAGAAAAATCCTCTTTCCAATCCTCTGATTCAAGAGAACAGATTGATTCTTTCTTTGAAGTTTTGTTTTATTGCGAACAAGGACAGTTTGGGAGCTTGGTGCACTTACACTGAAAGATGATGTTGATTCATGGGCCGAGTCCATTTGATCCACAGAGGCTGGTTCAGACATTTGATGAAGTACTCTTGCGAATTGGCGCGATTACCATGATGCTGATAAGACAAACTTGGTGAGGTTGAAACAACGGATCTTGTGTAACCAGGTAGCTCCACAGTTGCAGAATAAGAATTGTGAGAGAGCACTACGGTGTGTTGATGCTCTGAGGCAAATATCGGATCATTTGATTACATCGTATTTTGTATTTATAGCATTAGCAAAATTAGGAAGACAAGATGATGTTGTGAGTCCTGTTCACGCTAATTGGTCACGGTAATAATGAGGTTGACGTCTATGTCTAGGCATTGGACGTAGTCATTGAAGAGTGAGAAATTTCATGCTGTTGAGAAGGCATTTTTCCATCTCCTTGAGTACTTTGGTCAATACAGAGGGTAGTTTCCAACACAAGTGCTTGAGAGACTTCTGTTGCAAGAGCTAGCTGGACGCATGAGTTACATTAAGTAAGTCAAACAACCTTTGAAAATTGCGTGTAAATAGAAGAACTTGGCAGTTGTTGTTGCAGAGAATGAAGGTCTAGCATTGGAAGATAGACGGAGGCTAATGATACAAGAGCAAACATAGTTCATTCACGCACTTCTGTGGACCATGTAAGATCCATAACTATGCTGGGTGAAACTACATATTATTATCCTATGTGGCTGCTGATACGTTGTCGCAACAAGTGAGTGCAAAACTACAAGAAATTTGGAATGTTCCGCCTCATATATTTATTTTCCGAGACATGGCAAAATGCTTGAAATAATAAGTGGCGTCTTAAAGAACTGGATATTTGTGCCAAGAACTCATGCTCATTGTGATCTCCGACTTCATAAGGCAAAGTCTCATTTGTAGACGTTTGTATACTAGCTCTGAACATTGTAAAATAAAGATATACAAGATAAGCCACATAGCTCTATCTTAATTTAATCTAGCTGCAAAGATTACTGATAAGACAAAGAAGGTGTGCAATCCAATATTGGAAATAGAATCATTATGTAAGAAGTGATTTTAAAACTTCCTAGGTAATTTTTGACCTTGATATTTTCACTTGCAACTTGAAGATTTGAAGAAGTATATGAGGCAGTGCTAGTGTAGATACTTCTTCATTATTAAGTAGTTACCAAATAGTTCATCAATTGGTAGTTAGTATGGATGACTAATGTCTATGTGAAAAAATAGAAAAAATATCTTACATATCCCTCAAATATGTTGAAATATTAAGAATACCCTTGTATTCTTGATAATAGCAAATCTATCCTTCATTTTTGTGATAATATCAAATCTATCCGTTAACTTGATAAGGTATAATAATTATCATTTTTTAAATGTAATTGGAGCCTAACCTTAGTTGCTTGTAATACAATAGCCTTAGAGATTTACAAGACTCATGTGCTTTAATTTGATTAATGTCTCTACTTTGTTTAGGAATTCAAGGTCTCCATTGAGTATATAACTCTTTAATTGTTTCATAGGCATAATGTAGTCATCCTTGAATGTGGCTTTATACATACTCCCATAATTACTTTCACTTAGGAAATAATCATATAAGAAATTTTGAATAGTAAATGTGATTTGGTACATTCAAACCACACTAGAGTTATGCCATTAGATTGCAATATATGTTTGTTTTAAGTCATGAACTCACAATTTATGGCACTTTTTGTGTGCTGCTACATGGGAAAGAAGTTTAACCTACAAAGAATTATCAAGATAAAAACCACAATTTCAACACTAAAAGAATTGTACTTACCTATGTGCCTCCTCTTTTGGCTTAAACTTTCAACTATAGCCTTAAAGAAGCATTAAGCAATCTACAACCTTTTAAGGGTTGTCATTGTTAACAATTCTAGTTACATAGACTAGTATACAATTAAAGCAATTGGACCATATTGAGAGATTTAAAGTTGTTATCTTATATACTACAATCATCATATCTTCTAGACAAGTATAAAAGTGGCCTATAGACAAAGTATCTTGGCAAGAGATATCCATCAATATAGTATTAGCAGTTGCTTGCATATTTTAGAAATGTTTTGTAGTATAGATGCCTTGGCACTTATAAGGATTGTAAAGGAATAAGTAAATGCCATAGTTGTCTAGAGTTTTTTGTTACTCAAAGCAATCTTAGACAATATCATGTTGCATCCAATTTGACTTAGATTAATATAGAAGGAGCTAAAGCATACATTTAATGTACGTAGATTATAAAGATGAAAGATAAAATGGCCAAATATTTATATGTTTGATGTCCCATGCTTTCTAAAGCTGTGGTACAATAAGTTGGCCCTTTAGCTCCCTCATTGCAAATATTCTTCATCCATAGAAACTTCTTTAAGAATAAAAAATCTAAAAGGCAAGTCATATTTTTTGTGTGCAAGCTCTTTCAAGAATCAATCCTTCTTGCAAGCACAATGCCATTAGTCCTTCCAATTATCAATCCTTTTAAAGCTGCAACCAATTTAAGCATGAGACTAAAGAAGCTCAAAAACACAACTACCGACCCAATAGAAATCATCCAACTTTTTTTTAAAGTGATTTCACAACAAGCAGCTACATAATATGCCAAGACAACCACAATGATTTCTCCACAATACAAAGGTTGGGCCTCAATTACACTTTAAAAAAAATAGTTGTAATACCTTATCAAATTGAAGGGTAGATTTGATATTATTATAAAAGTAAGAGATAGATTTATTGTTATTATAAAAATAAGAGATAGATTTGTTATTATTATAAAAGTGGGCGATAGATTTGTTATTATTATAAAAATGGAAGATAGATTTATTATTATCATGAATACATAGATATTTTTAATATATTTCATATATATATATATATATGATATTTTTTTTAAAAGATAGCATATTTATATTTAGCAAAAAGATAGCAGAAGAATTGTCTACTTAAGTTCTCTTCTATCTTATCTTGGTTTCTTATCATTCTTCATCAAACTACATATGATTCCAATATCTTCTCTAGGAATACAAATTTTTTTATGCAAAGCAATACAAAGTAAAAGGACAATGGTTGTGTGTCTACTCCACCTAATCAAATGATGGATCTTGGATTGAGTATATTTTGCTTGGTGGTAGTAATTGTTGGTTAGTTTTGTATATATCTTAAAAAAATAATTAGAAAAAATTAATAAATCTCAATATTCTAAACCATTTACAAAGGTATCATTTTAAAAAAACTATGATATGCCATGATAGCATTCACATGGACACCAATGATACTAAATACTATTTACAAAAAAAATATAAATATGTATATAATTTTAAAATTTTGCTAGCCAATTAATATTTTCTTTAAAACTTTTGCTTCAACACCAAAAAATACAAAGCACAATGCCACAATCCAAATATTACATTTTACTACATGATGCTCCATGAAGCGCATGAGTATGAAGGAGACGCCCACGGCGAGGGCACTCCTGCACTTCCCCATCGCTTTAGCCTTGTCTGGAATATCCCTCTAGAGTAGAAATCATTGTAATATGGAATGTAAGAACGAGAGGGGATCGGACGAGGTGAGCGTGTGAATGAGTACATTTCATGCTCCGAAGTGCCGACAAGAGAGCCCAGCGTGAGGGAGAGAGTTGTGTTTGCAACATGCAGCAGAGGTGATTGCTGGTGTTGACGGTGGTGCGGAGCCCGGGGAAAAATCATGGTAATGATCAGCTGGTTGGGTTGATTGGGTTCAGGCAGCATTGGTTTGCAGCATCATAGCAGAAGGGGCAGCGTCATTGGAGGTGGAATCGCTGTTTTCGTCGAGGTTTGGGTAAGGGACAGGGGATACGGAAGCTGGGGCTGATTTATTGAAGGCCATGTACGCGTGCAGAGTGTGTTACAACTGCGGCGTACTTGATCGGCAGGGCAATTATTGGCAGAGCGATACATCATCACTCTCGGCAGTGAATGGCGACGATATTTCCCGAATTCAGCAAGTGTTGGGTTCCAACCGAAGGCTTCAGCTAGCGTCCACTTCTCATGAAACGTTGAGTGCAACAGCATTGAAAGCAGCGGCGAGGAAATCTACGCCCTGGTTGCTGCTTTTAGATCTGGTTGAGGCGAGACAGGAGCATGGGGCACTTTGACAGCACCATGAGAGGGCGGAAAGAGAACTGGCACGAGTGAGCAAGCAGACACAATCCATGACTGCTGGTACTGAACGGGTCGAAAGCAAAAATCGAGTGTTGATCACATGCTGGCACAGAGGGAGAGCACCAACTGTGGATGTAATAAGTACCAATCCTCCGCTGGTGCCGTCCATCGATGTCCCTGGAGCTTGATCAGGTCGGGGGAATCCCACTCGAGAATACGTTTCTATTTCGCAAGAGTGCTGCAGCACATGATTGAGTTTTCTTTTTGGGGGTTTACTTTGCAGTCGTTGTACCAGCCCAACAATATCCTTGCGCATGGGGGGAGAGGGTATTTTTCCATGTTGTCTGGCTGTGGCAGCAGCTGCGTTTACCAAGGCCAGGGGAGCTTCTCCCCTGCGAGCAGTAGAAACTTGGCCAATTTAGAACTAGAGAGAAAGTAGCGTCGTGGGTTTGCGTCGTTTTAAGGAGATGATTGCAGCCAACTCGTACTCTTATCTGGCAAACATTGACAGACTCGACGTTGGTAGTACCGTCGGAGTGTGAATCACGGCTTCTGGCCAGCTGCTTTCAACCTTTACGTCAATGGTTAATCCTCTTGGGAATGCCAGCGATTGCACTGCATTGGTCAGGAAAGAAGAATTCGCTTTCCGCTGCCGTATTGCTAATAGGTTTGACGCAAGGAAGTCCTTAGGGCTGTACCAGTTCGTCTTCTGATTTCATCTTAGATTGGCAAGTGTACCGACATCGGGCACCACACGTCTGGTGGCAATTGGGTTTTTATTCTTATTTTTACTCTAGCAGAGGGAAGAGCATGCAGGTGCAAGAGTGAATTAGAAACGACAAAGCCATGGGCAATACCCCTCGTGTGCTCTGTGCTGTCTGCCATGGAACACAGCACCTCAGTCCTGAGACGCACCATGCCCTCAGCTTTTGAGACTTGGTCCTGCTTGATCTCCGCATGCCGTAGCTTCCTTCTTGAATCTTCTCCATGGGGTACTAAAGGCAGGCTTCTTCGTCAGCATCCGTCATGTGCTGCATCCTGTTGCGTGATGCCTTGTGGTAAATAATTCTCTGACACAATCTAATTCGACGTTCCATCTTCTTGCATTAGTGCATACCCATATATGCCTGCTGTAAGTTTATTCGCTTGTTTCGAGGACTCATTCCCCTCTAATGCCAGTTCGGGAAAGGACGTACGAGCTAGTTCACGCGAAGCCCATACTCTCCAGCTGGTTAGTATTCATTCAGAGGAGGTGCCATCCGAGATTCATGGAGATCCTCTATGGGCCAAGCATAATATACTGACCCTCCTGTGGGTTAGTACTGAACATTAGATTAACGATTGTCACCGAGATTGGAGTGGTGCGTACTCAATCCAAGGGGGAAGGGATATTAAAAAATTAGAAGATGCAATGCTGATCGATTGCTTCTGGGTGCTGAAGTTGAAGCTGCGCCATAGGTTTTTCTACCTCCTGCTTTTTGTTGTTCAGAGCAGCAAGTTGAAAGATTGGCGGTGTGACGAGATTCGATAGAGGGCGGTGAGTGCGAGAGTCGTGCGTCTTCCATGAGGAAAGCTTCGGTTGGAGAGTGCTGAAGGACAATTTGACCTTGAATTTGCAAGCAACAGGCTTCACTAAGGATCCTTCGCAGGGCGGGATTGCAATGCATGAAGCTTACTCATCCTCATCGCATGATCACTGCTTGTCTCAATTGCCTTTCGAATCGGGCTTGGCCGAGCATATGACCTATTTAACTAACGAATGGCAGATGAATATTAGTTCATAGAAGCAAATCCATGGCAGGGAAGCCTTTGAGGGAGCTGTTAAAAGCATTGTTATGATGGGAAGTGAGAGTTGGGGCGAAGGGCAGATCCAGCAGGACGATTCCGCTAGCTCCGAACCAACTGCAACTTTGCGAAGCAGACCTGGCCATGCTTTGGGAAAGCGGAAAGGCTCCGCCTCGAAGGATTCGATAGTGACCGCGAAGGTAGTGGCCAACTCAAGACTGTCATCTTTATTTGCTTGCACAAGAGGCTCTAGGCAGTTCTTTCGATGAGATTCAATTTCCTCCCCTTGTCTCATGTGGGTGCAGGTCTTGAAAAGCGCCGAGAAGAAAGCGAAATGCCTCAGTACAAAAGTTGCCGGCGCCAGTGCCAACGCTAGCAAAGCACATGTTGATGAAGTGAGGGTGACGTTGAAGGATCAACAGAGCCCAGAAAGCGAGCCCTCTGGTGAGATGAGCCCGAGGTCGACTTTGAAATCAAGATCCAAGTCTCAAGTTATGCATCCGAAGCAGCACTACATCCATGTGCGAGCTCGACGAGGCCAGGCTACGGATAGCCATAGTCTTGCTGAAAGAGTGAGATCCTATTCAAGGCGATAAATCTAGTTTAGACAGCATTGCAACGCCTGTTTGCTACGTAACTTAAGTTTTGTCGACTGTTGAGATTTAACTTGATTCTATGGTCCTTGTAATCCTTTGCTCAGGTGAGAAGGGAGAAAATCAGCGAGCGGATGAAGTTCCTACAAGACCTAGTGCCTAGTTGCAGCAAAGTGAGCTATAGCCCAACTCGCGCTGCTTAATCTCTCACAGGATGCTTTGTTTTTGTTTTTGTTTTTGTCTTTCTATTTTTAAATCCATGAAAAAATCGTAACGGTTTCATTTTGATGTATGCTTGGGACTCTATCGTTCCCAGGTGACGGGCAAGGCTGTCATGTTGGATGAAATCATCAATTATGTGCAGTCCCTACAACGTCAGATTGAAGTAAGCCCTCCAACTGAGCACCTTGGATTCCATTGCTCAACCTTAATGTCTTTGATGCCTCAAGGATCCAATTGTTCATGATGTGTGCATGTGTACAGTTCCTGTCCATGAAGCTGGCAGCTGTCGATCCTCGTCTTGACATCAATCTACTAAATCTACTCAACAAAGAGGTACATAACTTGATTTGCGAAATGGCTTGAAAACAATGTAAAGTTGGTGACAGCTTTGGCACCCTTTGTATTGCTGCTACTGAATTGGAAGCTGTTTTCTTGTACTTTTGGAGCAGCCCCCACAAGCGAGATCTCCTGAAACAATTTTGATGAGTCCTGACATAATAGCAGGATACCGGGACTATCAAACGCAGCTACAAATCCAACAGATCAACAACTACAACGTGGACTGGAGATCCGTCGGAACCTTGTGTGATGCATACTTGAAGCGCTCAGTGAACATTGCGCTATTGCCTCATGCACCTGCAGCGTACAACGAGTGTTTCATAGATTCTCTAACCCAGGTAATTAGTCTACTGATTGTTGTTTTCCAGTGTGTCATGGTAAAGATACACGAGTGAAGTCATGATTGGTTACGAATTTAGCCGTGATAAAGCTTTGAGTTGCTTTTACCGAAGCTGCGAACATGAAAAATCAAATGGCTGACCTGTCAATATGAATCTTATGCAGACCCTCAACGGAGTTTGCGATGCCGGAGACCTCCAGTCTATCATGCACACGAGCAGTACTCCAATGAGGCAAGAATTTTTTGGCCAAGATACTCATAACTTTGCTCCAGGCTTTCCAGGGCTACGCCACTCGACCACAGGGCAACTAAAAGTGGACCACTAGTGTGTATGGTCATGTTCCTACTTTAGCACCATGCAAGCCGGTGACCGATGCACTGAGGAGATACAGAAGAAAAGCATTGAAACTAGTATGGCCCTCATCATCGCAGCCAGATAGTGCTCACCAAGCTGTGGTGGATTGCAAAACCCGAAGAACTGAATGTAGAAACTCAAGAGCGAAAGAAAACCGCCCCGAACAGCAGATACCTTTTACCGAAGAGACCTCTTCGAAAACTGAGGAACGTTTCATCGATCATCCTGAATAGACAGATAACCATGCAGAGATTTCTTCCCAACACATGTGTGTGCCACCGTATACAATGGTGGCAAAGATGGAATGTACCCAATTCGCTTGAGCTTGGCCATAATTTTTACAAGCGAACCAAGTCCAGCTCCGATATTATACGAGGCCAATCTGTCCGAACAGTAGGAGCTGAGAATAGACAAGTATCGTGATACAATTAAAGTCGCAATTGATTCATGCGAAAACGGTCCTGAAAGACCCATGGAGTGTGCAGTGATGAGTATTTCCTCTGCTGGTGATGGCTTCGAAAGATAAGTCAGGTGCACCGCTGTGTGTGTGTGTCCTTGGTTATTGGTCATTTTGGTTGAAATTTCTTCCTAATTGTGAATCAACGAGGTGATAAGGTGTGTAACTCAACTTGTGATGGAAAGTGAAGTTCGTGACAAGTGGAAAGAGAGTTGATCCTGAGTTTTAGGGCTGGCCGTTGCGATCTCTAAAGGTGGCGAATTAGCTCAATGCCAATTTTGCATCGTCTAGAGCGTTGAGATGAGAAATGCGATTCATTACTCTCAGTCAGCCTCTGCCATGCTGATCTGCCGGTCAGGGTGTGTTTTCTGAATCGCTCAGTTGGTCCTGGGCCTCCATGTTCTGATTCTGGAAGGCCTTGAGAGAGTTGTGCTAGTGATTGATCCTCGATGCAAGTGCTTCTGGTGAGAATCCAAGCATATCTGCGTCATCATTTTGAAGAAGACGCGATTACTATCAGCATGACTTAAGTGGTTGCCATGTGTCATCAAGGATTATGCAGGCCGGGTAGATCGAAAACGTCGTCATTACCCGCGTCCTTGTTTGTTGAATTCCTACTACCTGGCTCTGAATCTTGAATTCTGTTTCACCACACCACTTTCATGTGAATATAATTGCGACGCACTGACATCAAAAGTAGTATGATATCCACCCCCCGAACTCACCATGCTGGTAGCCTGCTAAACTTAGCCTCCACAGGCTCACGGCCACTTATAGCGAGCCTAGCGTCAGCAGCACTGGCAAGCAAGAGAAAGGCAGTCACAAAGGCCTGACGGTACAGACAAAGACCAAAATCTGCATCCTCACTTCAGAAATAATCCGAATCAAAGCTGTCTGCTGATATTCTCGTCGGTGACAAACCCTGGGATATTCGTGCCGAGGTGGGTACTGTCGGTGACAGTGCCCACACGACGGTGGATACACTCCAACCCTTGACTCAAAATCCTAGGGTATTTTAACAAAAACAACAGCATATTCACCGACATGAACTTCAACAAGAAAACCGAGCTTCATCAAGCACCTAAGACTTGCAAAAGTCGTTAATAAAACACATCACAACAAAGAGGAGAATGGCCATGGAATGAACAGATACTGCCAAAGGTCTTCACTCCAGTCAAAACAAAGTTTTATTGAAAACCCAATTCGAGAAAAGTCCAGAAATCTAGAAACTCAGAAACCCAACTCAAGAAATGCAAAATAAGCCCAGTAACTCAGTGGGCGTTTCACTGGAATGTGGTCATTTTTGATGAATGTTGTAGTTGAGGTGGGAAAACATTCATCCATTTCGTGAGGTGCCGCTCCGGCGAGGCAACGCTGAGTCTCGGCTGCCAGGTTGCGCAGGAGCTCGTTTCTGGAGCCGCCGAAGGTGAGCATTTACAATTTGGAAGGAGATGGATAGCTATGGTGTGGCAAGTAGTTGTTGCTGGGTAGGAGAATAAGGCAGTATCAGAAAAAAAAAAATACTGTAGTGAGCAGAAAGTGGTGGTAAGCAGACAACCATGGGCACGAAGCAAAGAGCGTGGCATGTCTCGTCCTCGCCTTCGTCAGTGGAGCGAGACTATATCGATCTTTCTGACGAAGACGATGAGCACGGGACCGCTGACTTGACGCTGAGCATTCTAGCTAAGGCGGAGAAGCGCGAGCGGGAGAGATTGGAAGAGAAAGCAGGACCCGAGGTGATTGACCTGGAATCGGAGGATGATGTGTGCACCCTGCGGGAGGATGCGGAGGAGATGAGGGAAGCTGTTTCTTTCAGAGGGTTGGAGCTGGAGGTTGAGCTTGAGGAAGGCGAGCTTAAGGATATGTCTGAATCCCAAGGTGATGTGGAGCTCGAGGCTCCCGTGTCGAAGGCGCAGATGAAGAAGAAGAAGAAAAAGAAGGAAAAAAAAGAGAAAAGGGAGAAGCGGAAAAGAGAGGTATGTGCCGAGGTTGCTGCTAGTTGGGATGAAGCATTCTTTGTTTGGTGCAATATCGAAAGAGGTGTGTCGAAGAGGGGGATTTTGCAAACCCTAATTTGGGATGGTTGAGAAGTTCTCTTGAGTGTTATCTGGAAATGCTGGGAAGGCATTTCTGGTGGACTTGTTCTCTAAGCACAATTATCGTGGTGTTTATCCTTTTATAACTACGCCATACAGGCTGTTTGCGTTTAAATTTTGTTATTTATTTTAGTTGCAAATTATCTTCAGTAGAGGTCCAACTTCAAGGCTTGCCTCAAGTTCTTGGGTTTAGTGGAGGTTTTGGCAAAATTTCTTTTGAAACTCTCACCTTAAAATATTCAAGGTTTTTGTGTCAATCAAATTAGCTAGTGACACGTATTTTTACTCAATATGCAGGCACAAGCAATTTTTGCGATTACGGATGCCTCTAAGCCTGCACCAGGCGAACCAGCAGAATCGAAACTTCAAGATGCTGAAGAAAGTCTTGCAATGCGCAAGCTGCTTGTAAGCTTACGACATCTGATGTACCCTCAGCGTAGAGTTAAAGAAGTAGTAATTTTTTGAATTGCCAGGGAGTGGTTGGAGTCGCGCAAACGGCACGCATTTATTTTGTGATACACTGGCGTTACTTCGATTTGCTTTGTCTGGTGAGTGCCCACATGTTGTGGTTTTGGAGAAATCGACTTAACTTTATTTACTCAATGTGCATTGGCAGCTGTGATCTTAAGCGATACTTTTTGTGATGCAGCGTGGTCCTCGGTACTTTGATCCTCCAGAGGAACAAGGAGAGACGTGCTACAACTGCGGTAAACAAGGTCACAAAGCAGCGGACTGTTTGGAACAGCCACGAGAAAAGCCTTGTTATGTGTGCGGCAATTTCGGTCATGCTGGTTACGATTGTCCAGAGGCATGTCTCGTTCAACCATTTGGGTGCTTAGAATAAATGATAACATCCAACCCATGCATTATCAACTTTTTTTAATATGTTTCGGAGTATATTCGAGCTATCTCTTCCTTGTTTTGGTAGAGGCTTAAAACATATAGAATCTGATATAATTTGATGGTAAATTGTGGATGGAATATATTGTTGTGCAGAAAACAGAGTGCTATGAATGTGGAAAGAGCGGGCATGTTGCCCGACATTGTCCAAATAAATATCACAAGTCTCGCAGCGGCACTGGGATTTGTCTTCTTTGTGGCAGATTAGGGCATGATGCATCTGTATGCTCTGGAGAATATGACCCTCAAGACTTTAAGGTTTTTTTTCTTTTTTTTTCTTCTCTCCTGCTTAATATTTTCCAGATTTTTTTGTTTTGCTTCTTGAATTCCTTTTTAAACTTAAAAAACATGTAGCTTTGTTACGTTACTGTTAAATTTATATGTGTCGATTGTTGGTGATGTTCCTGAATTACTCCTTGCTGGTCCATATTTATTGTTCTTGGTTACAATTTTTTTAATGGTGGTTACACTTTCTACAGCAAGTGAGATGCTACATCTGCAAGCGAACAGGACATCTGTGCTGTATTGAAGTTTCGGACGCGTCTCCAACTCCTGTATCTTGCTATCAATGTGGTGATTTGGGGCACACTGGAGTGGTAAGTATTTCGCAAGATCTCAACGGCAGTCTTATGTATCGCTGAGTCCTGTTGTTGGAACTGACATGAGATTGCTCTTGGATGTATCAGTCGTGCAATAGACAGAACACGGATCGAGGAGACAAGTCTTCATGCTACAAATGCGGACAGGAAGGTCACTTCGCCCGAGAATGCCATCAGATGTACCAAGACTACAACATCAAGCAGGTATGGTTTTATAGAAATGAATAATTTGGGAATTTGTTATGGTTGGTCTGTTGCGGAAGACTTGGGTGTCTAACGTGTTTGCTCTATCTCATAATTGCAGCGGCGTCATTCATGGCCAGCTCCTTGGTCTGCGGATGATGGAAGATATGGAGAGCAGGAATCTCCCGTCACTCCATATAACCATGGTAGGCCTCCTTCATTTAAAAGCCGCCTGGAACAAGCGTCTTCTGGTAAAAGTAGGCATCATGATGAGAGTCGAAGGGGATCGAAGCGGAAATGGAAAGAAGCTGAGGATGACAGATGGACACCCAGGTTGTCAGACAGACTCATGGATAGCCATCGGCATCGGTCACGGGATTAATTGAATTAATGCATTGTTGGAATCAATTTGATTGTCGGGTGCAGCGTATCCCTCTTGTGCTTGGCCGCTAGAGGCACATGCTCAAGGCAAAGCTTTGTACCATTGTATTTGCAGTTTGACCATAACCATCTGGAGCAGATCTTGCAGCAGTGCTGTAAATCTGATCACCTTTGTAAACAGTTGGGCCGCATTGCAAACTATGCAAGATATCTGCGGAACCATCGGAAGTGGTTCTAGCAATGAAGACTCTAAAATCTAGTGCAACATGCTGTGGTGGGAAAAAACTCGGCACAGTATGACCCAGGAATCTTCGGTGGTAATCGCGTAGTTTGGTCAAAGTTCAAATATTTAGGCTTCCAGGTGCTCAAGTTGCCAGACCTTGCATCACTTGTAGGAGGATTGACCTTCCTGCTCAAAATGTTCATGTTTTCTTCTGCTGTCAGTGAACCCTCAAGGTTGCAAAAGTTTGCTACACCATTTTCAGTCCTACAATGCTATGCTTGTTTACGTCGTGTTGCCAAAGTTAACTTGTCAATTGCAGAGGATTCGTCCAATTCAAGGTTGCAAGGTGACAATAATCCGGAGCTAAGAATTGGACCGATTATGGTGCACTTCAAGCCTTCTGAAAGCTTCTAGGTTGCCGCTGCAGTACCCAACCTGCGCTAGGTCATTATGTTGGCAGCAGGAAAGAGCCCAGTTGATGATGACAGTCCACAGTCTTCCACTATGAGTACGTCATTGCAACATTAATGCTTGTGTTCCCACAACCTGCAATTACCACACAGCATTTCAAAACAGTAACTCCATACTAAAATGTGTGTCTCCTTATTTAAAGTCATACTTGGGTTACTTGGCCCTTGTTAAAAGAAAAGGTCCCGGTGCTATCACGACCAATAGCTGGTGAAATTGACCTCCACCTGGAGATCCAAGAAGTGTAAAACTTAGTTTTTGACGAGAGCAAACGAAATAAACTAAGGATTGGTAGGTTTGGAGCTTAGCAAGTGTAGCTTATCTAATGTCTTTTGCAGTGTAGAGGAACTCTATAGCAAAAAACATTGTCTCTGTTCGGAGAATAGAAAACAGATAATTACTAATGCTAGAAAATCAGTAATCTTATTTTTAGAAAAGTCGTGTTTGTTGGGTTGTATTTGAATTCAATGGAAACATTACTATGGTATCAATGATTTAGTGTGGAGTTAAGATCTTGAGTATTAAAGGGCATGGTTTAGCACACTTAAGATTTTATTTTACTTTATCTTGTACATATTATACTTGCAAAAAAACCTGTTTATCTGTATTTTAATAAGTTTTGAAGTATACACATGATTGTGTGATGAATGTATTTAAAATTGCCAATGACATAAATAAAGGTAGTTTTATTCAAAAAAATACATTTATCTACAAGTAAAATGATTAAAACGATGATAATCTCTAAAATAAATTAAAAAAAAATGATTGTAATAGCTGTTTTTAAATTTACAATAAAAAATGATACTAATATTTTAACCAAAAATCTAATGTGTACTGTAGATGAAGATGGTTTGTAAGTCCTTTGAGCCATGTGTAATGTCTTACATATTGATGACAAGACCATCTAATTATCTAATAATTATTAAGACTTTTAAATTATTTTTAGATAAAACATTTGGAGTGCTATCAAATAAATTATATACTTCCAATCATATATATATTAGTACCAAGAATCCATTCTAAAGTAATAAATAAAACATATTATTTCTCATCATCTATTCAAAGAAAAAATATCTTTATTAAGAATATTTATCTCAATTTTGACATCACAAAAATTTTAACAACTCAAGTAATTTATCTAACAATTTTATAAATGGTAGTTCTTTAGATAAATCTTTGGTTGTTATTTTTTTTTTAAAAAAAGATAATCAATGTCTATAAAGAAGTTATAGAAAACAAACAAGATTTTTTTTTTAAAAAAAAATAAAAATAATACCATTTTTTTCATTAATAGTTTTTTATGAATTTAAATAATTTTTATCAATGAAAATCATAAATATTTATTTGGTACATTGAAGGATTGTTATATAGCTCCCATGTGTGCTCAATAATACTCTATTTCTATTAATGTGTAAGATATTCCAATTTATTTTTTTATTTTATAATTTTTTAAAAATAAAAATAAAAACAATATAACTTAAAATTTAATTACTATTTATTTCAATATAATGTAGAGGTAATTTCTTTATTTATACTATGTTGATTTTTTAATAAGATTTTAAAGTATAAATGTAGAAAAAATAAATATATTATTATTATTGATATATATATATATATATATATATATATATATATATATATAAATACAAAATAGTCTAATTCTTTGATTATATAATTTGTTGAAAGATTGATTTGTTTTAATGTCATATGAAATCAACCACATCTAATTACTAATCTTAACTAGAAATCTCTTTTATAAAGAATTTATGTTAGTCTTTTATTACTATTAGAATTTTTTAATTGTATCTTTTTTTTAATAAATTATATATATGTATATATATTTAAGAACAAACATCATAAAAAATTCAAATTCTTTAGTAGCTTTTGACATTTGAGAAACCAAAAATCTATGAAAATAAGTACCAAAGATTAATTAAATACAATTTTTTTGTTATTAAAATTTTAAATTGTAATTAAAGTACTATATTTAGTCTTTAAAGATATATAAACATTCTTCAAACCAAAAAAAAATTTCTTATAATCCAAATATATAGAAAGTATTTTTAAATTTGCAAGTACCTAGTTTAATTTTAATAATGTAATTTATTTTATATAACATGGACACAAATTATCAATAAATATAAAATCAACAAAAAGTATTTATTCCTTAGTTTAAAAACCTAGTTGCTTTAGTTTATATAGAACAATTCTTAGTTAATTGTAAGTTGCATCTTCTTCTTTTAGTACAAGACAATTGTGTTTAGACTAGGCATCTAACAAGTCTTATTCTTTTTTGAAAAAATATGTAATATTGAATACAAATAATAACAAAGGCATATTCCAATAGGCTTGACAAATATATATATACACTTGTAATTAACATAAACTATGAGTTAGCTAAAAGCACTTTCTATACAGTTACACCAATATTAAACTGAATCTCCAATCACATAGAATTCTTTCTTGTAAACCTTACAATTAATTGTAATTGCTAATTTATTTATATAAGAGGTGGTAGGATAATGTATATTACTTCCATTTGTGATATTCATATATTTAATGCAAAATTCGATATAATCAAGGATGAAAATCATAATATTTTACATCTTTATCCTACTTTAGTTTTTTCTTTGCAAGCCAATTTCACAAGTCAAACTAGACACTTTTATAACTTATTAAAAAAAATTCATCATTGCCCAATTTTTTTTCATGTTTTCAATCGAAAACATTAAAATATTTCCCCTGCTTCGGCTTTCAGGGCTGAGCCCATGCGCTGCGCCATAGATGCTCCGCGGCGTCGTCGAAGCTCGCACATTGGCTACGAGCGGTGGCGATAGGTGTGCGTTGCGGCGTCTGAGGCTTGAGCAGTCGCGAAAACCGAGTGGAAGTATGATAAATTTCTCTTCTACGAGGGTTCTGAGTGCGTTTTAGGTTGTGTGTGAGAGCTGTTGTTGTGAGGTCTTTCTTGAGTGTGGCGTAGGGGGATTGTGGTCGATGTTTGTTTGGTGAGCAGGGATGAGCAATGGGAACGTTTTCTTTTTGTGTTGAGAGTAATGAGGCGGCGCCGTTTGCGACGTTGTTGAGAGTACTTTTGGTTCTCTTGTGAGGAGGATTTCGGGAGTGAGAAAAGCAGGGTCGAAAGGTGATGTATCATTTGCGATTAATGCTGCTCATACGACATTTTCTTGTGGGTGATCGGGGTTTAGAGTCGCTGTAGCCGGCATCAGTTATGATGAGGTTGGCTTGCTAATGTGTTTTTTATGATGATGATTTTAGTTTTCGGGAGAGGAACGGGCTGTATGCAATTGAAAAATTATGTGGATGTTTTCAAACGTTGTGTTCTTTTCTTTTGCGCTTCATTGTGACATTGAAGAGGTTAGCGTCATTCTTAATCGTAAAGTGGTGCTGAGTAACTTGTTTTGTAATGCGCGAGGATCTCATTCTACAAATATAACGTGCAGTAGTACCCGACTTAGCGACGCAATACGAATTTCTTGGGGGTATGAGGTTGTTTAGAAGGGACTGGAAGATATTTCCGACATGAGCGCGTAACTTAGCATTCGCTTCACACCTATCTTCAAGAAATAAGTTTCCTTAGTTTTACTATTTTAAGTCTTCGTGGCAGACGTTACAGGATAGAGACTTGGGAGTTGTTGTTTTGTTGCAGATACTTACGTTTCTGATCAGATCTACTCAAGTTTGTCGCTCAATTGGTAGTGTAGATGGTCCTGCAGTTGAGGAGCCACTACGAATTTCCTCCATCACCATTTCGTAGTTTGTTGAAATTCTTGGCTCATTTCGGAGGCGTTTGACGCATCTGACTCTTTGTATGCTTCCTGGTTTTGTTTCTCGTCAAGAGGATATTTTTCAGTTCTTTTCAGAGCGCTTGCGTAGCTCCACATCGTACAGAATGGTTCACAAATTCGTAGGAATCGTTCCTGTAACGTCTTGTTGCACGTTAGTTCGGTTGTTGTAATCGAAAAGCTCAGATCCTTTCTCCTTGGGATTTGGGAACAGCCAGTAGCAACTCGTGATACCCAATCTTCTCCGCTCTTCTCCACCTCGATGATACTGAAAGAGTTTTTGTCACATGCAGACATCAGCAGGCTGCTTGTCATGAGAACGCGCTTTTCAATGTTTCTAGAAAAGGCAGCGTGAGAAATGGTCGAAAAGAAGAATCTGCTGATGACGAGAAACTAGGAGATTGCTTGAAGCTAGGGAATAGAAGAGTTTTGGTTAGGATGCCAGGTAACAAGCTGAAAGTGACAATCGCCTCTCAACAAGTCAAGTGTAGCAATGGTTCATCTCACAAAGTTTCCGAGGTCGCTCTAGTTCGTGTTGACGAACAGGACCGAACTGAAGAGGTAGTGGAACTGGTCCAGAAACGACCTGTTTCTGATGGAGCAAGTCTGCCGCAGTGGGGTCAGAGGAAACGGTTGCGATTCAGTAACAGAGTAGATGGCAAGGCTGCCGCAGAGACTACTACGGCTGATATGAAGGTTGAAGCGAAGGCTGGGTCGAAGGCTGATATAAAAGCGGGTGCCAAGGCTATTTCAAGAACAGCTAGGGGAGCTGTTAAGGCAGAGAAGAGTGTAGGGGTGCTTTCGGCTAGAATCAGAGAGCCAGCTGTTGCGTCTAAATCTTCAGCACCTAAATTAGGTGCTGGGGACAGCAAGAAGTATGTGTTACACAAAATCATCAAGCGCTTTCCTCATTGTTGATGTTCTCTTGCTTTCTTTCTCACAATTGGCAAGCTAAACTGCACTTAAGTTGACGTTCAGGAATGTTCATTGTATGCATTTTGTCTCTGGTTATGATTCTTTCCATTCTTTATGACAGGGATGCTGAGGGTGCTGGAGACACTTGTGTTGCACGGAACGTCAACAATCATGTTATGGTTACCCTTGAATGCGAAGCCAGTACTGTTCGAATTGCGGAGGTGCACTCGGACCAATCACTAGCGTATCCCGACAAGGTTTGCAGTGTCCCTGCCGATTCACTTACTGCTCAACCTGCCCTCAGTACGAAAACGGAAGATAGTGTGCACGAAGAAAAGACAGCTTCACCTAGAAAAGTAGATATGAGTTCGTTCCAATGGCCGAAGTTTGTAATATCTTTGTCACGAAAGGAAAAAGAGGATGACTTCTTTGCGATTAAGGGTTCCAAGATCCCAGTTAGACCCAAAAAGAGGTCGAAGTTTGTGGAGAAGAGCCTAACTGTAAGTGTTCTTTTGTCTTCATTTCTCCACTCAGTCGATGAGTACGATGCAAGGCTTACTTCATAGTTCCATTGTGTGTTCTTTTAAATCTAAAATGTATGCCCGGTTTTCATTTCAAACTATGTCTGTGTTGCTCACTTCGATCACCTTTCCTGCATGGAACAGTTCATTAGTCCTGGAGCCTGGCTTTGTGATATCACAAGGGAGCGCTACGAAGTAAAAGAAAAGAAACCTATCAAGAAGGTATGTCACAAGTCTAATTTCATTTGCAGTTGGTGTGCTTTCGGATGTGTCGTGCTACTTTAACTATGCCTGGGCTCAATTACGTTAGGTGCAGTGGTGGATTCTAATCGCTCCTTTTGTTATTATGCAGAAACCAAGGGGTCTCAAGGCTATGGGTAGTGCAGACAGTGATTCCGATTAGCTTCTAGAGCCATTAGTCGTGGTTGTTTTTCTTTCTCTCGTTGAAATGTGAAGCAAAAGTATAGACTGTCCATAGATTCTTTCGAGCTCATGTTATTTGTCAAAACCTGAGATTCCAGTCGTTACGAATGAGGCTAGGACATGGAAACTGTTTTAACAGTGTCCATCTTTTAAAACTTTATCGAGACAAAACCTAACGGTAGCATGAATTTTTGCTCCCAATTCAGTCTTAGTTCGATGCTAATGTAGATGTACAATCCGCCAAAGTTCGATGTACAATTTCGAGTTATGTTGAGAAATACCAAGATTGGAAATGGATGCCACTCTGCACACTTCAATATAGTGTAGTTAGTTTCTATTTTGAAAATGTCGCATTACGATGTCCGCAGAAAGATTGTATGATTCAGAAGCAAATCATTTTACCTTTAAGGTAAATTACCATGGTGAGGTGTCAAACCTTCAAACGATTACCATGTTTCAAGTTTTTATTATTCTGACCTCGATAATGCTTTTATCTGCATACCCTATCTGTCACAACCTCAATCAGGGTCATGATTCTGGCCTTTCGGGAGCAGTGGGTTGTTGGCAAGATCTGTTTTTTTAGCAACCGCACTCTAGGTAAATCCGTGAAGTGCTTAAGGTCGATTTGAGCTGTTTGTGTAAATAAGAATCCTTCTTCTTATGTGAGTCCTTGTGCATTGTGCAAATATTCCTGATTGTAATCCTGCAAATAACATCATCATCTACGGCTTCATGTTTATTGGTAACCGGAATTGTCATCATTGTCAGTTCCCGACTCGAAACAGAATTCCGATTCTCACGTGTTAGAACTGAAATGCAAGTAAGAATAAGTTAGTAAAACCTTGGTGTTAAATTAGACAGGGGTACTCAATCATGTACATCTACTTCCCCTCCACACATCTCTCTTTGTGCATCTGTAATTTCAAAGAGTGGTATGCACAATGATTTGGGTATTCCAGACTGATGACTGTTGTTGATTTGTATCTTGTCTAGTTTGTCATTAAAATTCTGAACATCCATCTGTATCCAACTTGGTTGCAATCTCGAAGTGGTTTAAACTTGTAAGGCAGAGAAAAGGGGCTATGATTGGAACAAGGTAACTTCTCATCACTGTCAAGAGATATTTCCAAGCACTTATTCTATCAATCTTGTATTGAGTTTTGTGATTATATTATTTCCACACATGAATTCTAGTTGGAAAAAAAAAAAAACAAAAACAAAAAACAAAAAAAAAAAACAAAAAAACAACAGCAACAACTTCAATTTAAAACAATTGGTATTACTTTAGGTTTGTAGATATTCTCAAGAAGTTTTTAAAGAATTATTTCTGGTTTGTTGAGCCATTTTCATTTTTAGTAATAAATAAATAAAACACACACACACACATTTAGAATGATGAGGCTAAATAAACTTGAACACAAACTCCATTTCTTATTCTTGAAAAAAGAAAAAAGAAAATGTTCTATTTAGATGGGAAACCATTAGTTATAAATGATAAAAATACTGTTATATATATATATATATATATATATATAATCAATTAATTAATTTGTAGTAACTATGAGATATGTTGTTTTTTTTTTGAAATCTCTGTAAATTTATCTTCTTTTTTTTTTCTTTTTTTTTTTTTTTTTTTTTACAATTTTCAATTCTAACATGCTAATGGAATTAAATAATCTTATTAAAATTTGCATAATTACTCAATAATAAAATTACTGAGGCTGTGGTAGGGAATCGATCTGACCCACCAGCGACGCATTACGATTACGAGGTTGCATGCGCTGCGTGCGGGATGATTGGCAATTCGTGCCTCAATTTTCTTTTTTTGGTGAGAATCGACAAAAAGCAAAAAAGACGAAGAATAAAACGTGTAAGAAATTATTTCGTAAACGGGATTGCTCGTCGCGGTCATTTCGCGCGTCTGCGGTGATAGGTTATGGATTACCTATTACCGGTGCATTTAGGTTTGGCCAGTCAGCTTGACTGTGCTGACATGGACTTCTCTCATTGGTGGGGGGCCCAAGGATCCCTTTGTAGGGGTCGGGAATGGGCTTTGGAGTGCTGCGTTGATGCCCCCAACATTGGTGGACATAGTTTTGTGGGAGAAACTTGATTTCCTAATGTTTAGAATATTTTTCATTATGGGTTTTGTAATGCTTTATTGCTTTTCCAGTCTAGAAACTCTATTTTGAAGCTAAACTAGCTAGAACTTTTGGCACTAGTCAGACTAAATAATCCTTGTTGCACCAATTTTCAATCTTATTTTCTCAAGTAGAATATATGTGTTGATCACACAGTAGAATTAGTCATTTGGTACTCCGTAATAGATTACAAGAAATCTAATTTTCATAATATTATTCTATGAAAAATTGTATACACCTCCAAGTTTTTTGAAAAGTTTCAAAATGTCTATGTTAGACCTAAAAACGAGAAATTGCAATCACAGTAATGATTGAGTAGAATAAAGACTCACACCTAAGATTCATATTACTTGTACTACTCCAAATAAACTATGTGTAAATGTAGCATAAAGCTAAGAATGACCATTGCTAAATAATAATCAAAATTTATAATATTATTATTCAATATATGCGTATTAGCATACTCTCATATTCTTAATTTGAAAAATCAACACATCAAAATATTACAAAAGTGAATAATACAAGAATTGTTTGATATTTTAGACTCAAAAAATTGATTAATCATTAAAGGATTAAATGTGTCCCAGCCTCGCTTTTGTTGCCATTGTCGAGAAAAACTCTGTGACGATAGCAATCTGCGTGGCTCCGATTCGGACCCTCACCTCTCCTCTGCTCCGCTTGTCCGCTGCCTCTCCATGCGGCACGAAGAGCACCGTCTTTGGGTGTCTATTGCGGAGTTTCGAGAACCGGGAGCTATCGGTGCGGCTCAGAAGCAGCAGCTCCTTAGACGCTCGCAACTCCAGAGGACGCATGAATTGTTGCGCTCAAGTCGGGGCCGGTGAGCATTTTAGTGGGTTGTGATTGATTCTCGCTGATGTGTTCGGGAATGGTTGGTTGTCACAATGGGTGCTTGTGAATTTTGAGAGAGGTTGTGATGAGATGGGTGTTGTGATACAGAGGCCGGTGGCTCGGCTCCCTTCTTGACGGACCACACGACGCTTATTGACAGCGTGGAGACATTCATCTTCGATTGTGACGGTATGGTGTCTCCTATGCTTGGTAAATTTGCAAAGAGATTCAGGGGTCTGTTGCTGAATGTTGCTGAATAACTAAGTTCCTTGAGGGTTCGATGTTTGTACTTGCAATTGCGGTCTGGTTAAGTGCTGCCCGGTGCTGTGCAGGTGTCATTTGGAAGGGAGACTCGCTCATTGATGGAGTTCCGGAGACTCTTGACATGCTGCGATCTATGGTTAGTTATGAAGTGCTCAATGCCTGTCATTCTCCCCATTCTCGATATTCAATCACTTTCTGTACAGTCGTGTAATTGAAGCCTTGGATTCTTGTGGTATCTACCGGATTACACCTCGCAGATTATAGGATTACCCAACCAATATCATGGATTCATAGTGAAATATTTTCTCGATGATGTTCATGTTTCTTCTATTGGTTGGAATGCAGGGTAAGCGTCTAGTATTTGTGACCAACAACTCCACTAAATCAAGGAAGCAGTACGGGAAGAAATTCGAAAGCCTCGGCCTTTCCGTCTCAGCGGTGTGCAAGATTTGCTTACTCAGGCTCCATCCGCCTTTGAAACTCGGGGCGGTGCTAGCGATGGATTTAGAAATACATTCTCAACGCCTCTCAAAGTGAATGGGAGTGTTTTTTTTTCGTTATCGATGGATCACATCAGAGCTGTGGCTTGTATGGTTTGCAGCAGAAGTTGTTGTGTTTGATTCTCATGATCGTAATTTTGGCCGCTGCAGGAAGAAATCTTTGCCTCATCGTTTGCTGCGGCTGCGTATTTAAAGTCCATGAAATTTCCTACCGACAAGAAGGTGTACATAATCGGTGAAGCTGGTATTCAGTTGGAGCTTAAGCAAGCAGGCATCAATTACATTGGAGGCCCTGTATGTCCTCTCTCATTTCTCATTCTATCTCTTTATTTCTCTTTCTGAAGCTTCGACTGTACTGATTTCTGCAGATTCACTTCTCATGATCAAAATCAAGTTTCAGTAGAGCATTTAGTTGTTGTTTGTTTGTGAAAGAGCGTAGCCTAGCGAGTATTTATACATACAAAAACATACTTCAGTGCATATCACGAGTCAATAGATTTTTATGCGATTGACTAAAAATTTGGTTCATATCAACCTCCACTCAACTGCTACATTTCCTCAGCTTCTTTTGCAGACCTATAGTGCAAAGTGTTGTTGTTCTTAAACATCTGAGTGTTACGACTTCGATTATTAACTCACATTGAAATGAGATATGGAATAGCAATTGAGTGGAAATTGAATGCAGTCACATAAAGCCACTCGCGTGTTCATATACTTGCAGGAAGACGGAGACAAAAGAATAGACCTAACACCTGGTCAACTTATGGAGCATGATCATGATGTATGAACATAACCTTTGATATCATACTTCACTTCTATTCTTAGTCCATATTGCTATGCAATCTTGTGGTACAGTTGTGTCTCATTGGTGATCGGGATCTGACTAATAAAAAGATGTGTTAACAGGTTGGAGCTGTGGTAGTGGGTTTCGATCGGTACCTCAACTACTACAAGCTGCAGTAAGTGTAAACTTCTATACTTCAAATTCGCTCCTGCAATCTACTGGTACACGCAGAGTGGTTAGTTATCAAGTGCGCAATCACCTCTTTGATTTATTTGTTTTTTCAAATTGCCCTCTAAGTTCTCTTGCAAAACCAGGTATGCAACTCTTTGCATCCGCGAAAATCCGGGATGCATGTTCATTGCCACCAACTGTGATGCTGTGATTCATTTGACGGACGCACAAGAGTGGGCAGGTACGATCGTTTCCCTTCTATCGTTCACATTTCTGTCAGAATGTGGAAGTTTAGGATCTCATATGTGATAACTATCACTCTGCATTAGGCTTTGCGAACTTGTATACTCGTCTACACTCAGAGCAGCAGTGTAATTTTGATGCATGTGAATCAGATAACTGATTTAATCAATGGTGACTACAGGAGGTGGTTCCATGGTTGGGGCCATTAAAGGTTCGACAAAGAAGGAACCACTTGTCGTCGGCAAGCCCTCCACTTTCATGATGGACTGCCTTGCATCAGAGTATGTATCTGTTTTTTAAACTAGTTGATTTTCTTACTTCGTGTTCTGTGTGTTGTGCAATAACCCCCTCTTGGATAAGATGACGTTGGCTCTCACACTTTTAGTTATATTGAGTTTAAGACATCCTGGAAGTTGATACGCGAGTACCCCTACACTTTCTTAACGGGTTGTCCTACATTACGGCAGGTTTAACATTAAGACATCACAGATTTGCATGGTGGGAGATCGTCTAGACACAGATATTCTTTTTGGTCAAAATGGGGGTTGTGCAACTCTCCTGGTTTTATCGGGTAAGTGATGCCACTAACAGTTTAGCCATGGTCACAGTTGTTAAATTAGTGGCTTCGTATTTGCAAAGCAATGCTTCTTCTAAGTGTCTGAGCGGCTCATGTGCTGGACTGTTGTTGCAGGTGTGACCACACTGGAGACGCTTCAGAGCTCTGAGAACAAAATCCAGCCCGACTTCTACACAAACAAGATCTCAGACCTTCTTGCAGCTAAGAAAGTCACGACAAATGCTTGATTGATTATTATTTGAAGATCAAGTGCTGCCATAAGTGCTTTTTTTTTTTTTTTTTGGTTTTTTGTTTTTCCCTAGCACGATTCATACAATAGAACACTACCCGTGTAACCACCCGGATGGCTTGGGACGGTGTGCCATGTCAGGGCTGCCTTGTGCTCAACCAAGCCAGATGTATTTTCTTGTACTGGACTTCTCGTTTACCACCTGAAACAGGTGCCGAATGCAACTTATCTCCATATCGACAAATGTGTAAGGAAAAGAAGACTCGAGGTTGAGCACCTCGTCAACTTTGAGAGGTGGGTGATGTGAGCCTTAACACCATCAGACCTCTTAGACCAATGTGATTTGCAGCCCTCATGTATGAACTTGGAAATTGATAGCAAAGCTGTATTCAATATGGTTTGTTGCAAAGATAAAGTGAATTCATCTTCTTCCTGTGCTGAAACGGTTTCAGAGTTATCGAGTTTTGTTATTTTAGATTGTGGTTATTCTTGGAGTGAGGTGGCGATTGAAGCGAAGGTTTTGTTAAGCTAATTTGTGACAACAAATTGGTTGAAATTCTGCATGAAATACCGTTGAGTGTGACGAAACAACAAAGTGCATGTCCAAGTTGTGGTTGTGGATTATGCAAGCAAGAATAGTTTGTTTGTTTGTTTAATTGAATTTTTACTAAATCTATTGGAATTTTGTTGAATTTTTTTCAAAAAGTTATCAGATATAACCTACTAATATTTTTTATTCCTTAAAACTTGTTATTCACATTCAGATTGTGTTTTCTAAAAAATAAAATTTTTATACATAATATTTTTGTGCATGTGAATAATTGTTCAGGTTAAAAGTACTTTGTTCAAATTATTATTATTATTATTATTATTATTATTTTTTGTATTAGGATCCCAAACATACATCTCTAACTCTTACTTGGTTCTTCTGAATTATATATTGTATGTCTTTTAATAGATAGAGCACTAGTCAGTATAAACAAGTTTATACTATTCATTTTAAAATCAAAATTTATCATACTGGCACATATCTCGTCATTTTTTTATAAAAAAACAAAGAAGACTTGATTCATACAACTTAAATTTTTAACAGTTAATATCTATGGGACAGTTGTATATTCTTTATATTTATCAATTTTGTATTTGTATTTTAGTGCAAATTTTGTTGATTCTATTAACAAAGTAAAATAACATAGATATAACATTTAAATGTCACAGCATTCTTACCAATGCATTTGTTATGAAATCAATATGCCTTGGTTACAAAATAAGACATTTTAATAATTTAAGAGATATTTCTTATTCTTAAAAACATCTTTATAGCAGAATCTCATTATAATTTATTAATATTTTAGGAATATAAGATGCTTCATTCTATTGATTAAAATATATCCAAAAACTTCTAATGTTGGAGATTGAAGTTTCACTTGAATAAATTACATGCAATAATCTAATTGAAAGATACAAATAAAATATTGGCATAATACTATTTGTGTAAGACTTCAACAAAAAAACAAAGACAAAAAAAATGAAAAGATTTTTTTTTCAAATAAGAAAAAAAGATTTATATATTATCCATTATTAATTTTTTATAATCCTCATAGTATTGTTGTTAATAAAATATAAAAAAAAAGAAAGAAAAAAAATGATATCAAAAGATTTACTCCACCTTATATTATTTATCTTATATGGAAACATAAACTATTAGAATTCCAATTTCAACATATTAATTGCAACACATCAAATCATTCACCACCATAAAGAGCAACTAGATTGGTTGGAAGTGAAGACGTAGAGATGGTTGGAGCTACCTTAATATCTATGTCAAATCACATTACTTCTCTTATTGTAAAATACTATCAAGTACTACTACAAGCATTAGAAAACTAAGAGTTGTATTGCTTTAAAATTTTGATCTTTACTATCAAACTTTCTAGGATTTATCAGTCAAGTATAATTAGTGATTGAGCTTCAACGTTAAAGTTATCCAAATTTTGGAACATTAATAAGTGTATTAAAATAATACATTTAAGCTTTGATTCATGATGGTTTTTATCTTTTTTTAAATAATGCAATCTAATAATAAATAATTTGAATGTTTTTTCATAAAAATCTAATCTATGTATAGAAAACATGATACAATTTGTAATACAACCAATAAAATTTATATTTTACATTCAAGCAAATTTTTGATATCATTATATGCTTTATAATTTTGACAACTTGTAACTAATATAAAAATGAATGATGTTGCACTTATCAACCCATTTTTATATAGATTAGAATATAAGATAAAGAAATTAATATTGTACTTATTAACCAATTTCATTGTAGATTGTAATATAAAATAAATAAATTTATGTTGAATTTACATAATCCTCAAATATTGAATTAAGAAATTAAATATGACAAGTGGCTCTTTGAATTTTGATTTGAGAGTTATATAAGTGTGCTTCAATATATTTACAATTCTATGGCAATATCAACATCTTTTTAAGAAATGTATTCAAAAGTGAAAGATATTCAAATTGATGCAATATATTTTAAATCTCTTATTGAATAAAAAAAATCTTGACATTATTAAGAAGGATTATACTTATATTATGGAGAAACTAAATACACCACTCAATATTATCTAAAAAAACAACACAACCATAGAATGACGAGCATAGCTGTCAAAAAATTTAATATGTTGCAAGATAAGTTTGTCCAACTACAATACAAACTATATGGCTAGAATCTTTTGTAACATATAATAAAGGTTAGACTTACTTCTTAAAGCCCTCTCTTTGTTTTACAATAGATGTTTCTTTAGTACCTAAAAATCACAAAGCCTTTGTCTTATTAGATTCAAAAGCTTCAACTTGTTTTTTAAATAAAGACTTTGTTAGAAAACATAGCATATCCTTTATAAAGAAATCCAAGCCTATGCATATAGAAGTCATAGATAATCATGTTTTATTTTTTATAGACGTTATTTATAAAATTATTTCTATGGATGTAATAATAAATAATTATAATATCTTAGTAGTATTTAATATTATTAGATATCTTTTTAATCCAATAATTTTAGGTTTATAACAATTTAAAAAAGTATAATCCTTGAATAAATTAAATTTCTTATAATCTTTGACTTTTGTTAATCAAAATATAAGTCATAAATATAATAAAAACAAGATTTTATTTTTATATACAAAAGTTTTTATGGATATTGCATATATATATATATGTATATATATATATATAAATTATATATGCAATACTTATTTTTAATAATAAAAGACTTCAAAAAATATTCGATTCCAACATAAAGATTATTAAGATGTATTTGAGAGGAAAAATATAAATATTCTTTTATAATATTGTCTTTATAATTGCTCAATTGATCTTGAAAAAAGAGCTCAATTGTCATTTGGACCAATCTATGGTTTATCAAAAAATGAGTTGGCATTATTTAGGAAATATATTAATAAGAATTTAGCCAAAAATTTCTTATTTCATTCGAAATCTCTAATAAGAGCTCTTATTATATTTGTGGAAAAAAAAATACAAATAAACATAGATTATTGATGATTTTATAAGATTACCATAAAAATAGATATTATCTGTATTTAGTATTAGGAATTCTTAATCAATTAAATTAAACAAAGATCCATATCAATAGATATTGAAGAAGCATACAATCAATTATGCATTAAAAAAATAAATGAAAGACTCTATTGTGAATTAGTTATAAATATTTTAAATATAAGTCATGTATTTTCGTCTTACAATGCTCCAACTTCTTTTTAATGTATGATAAATTATTTTTAAAAAAAAAATTCATGATTTTTATTTTTTTTATTTAAATAATATTTTTATTTATTTTATTTGATCTATTTTAAAAATACAAAAAAATTTAATCATATTAGTTGTATGTTAAAAAATTTAGAAGTACATGACTATACACTAAGATGGAAAAGTATGTATTTTACAAAATTTAAGTTGAATTTTTAAGATATATTGTTTTAAATAATAGTTTAATTATGGATCTTTAAAAAGTTCAAATTATCATGGATTGAAAAATTCCAAGAAAAATAAGAATTTTTAAGTGTTTTTTGAAATTTTCCAATTAATATTGCAATTTTATCAAGAATTTTTTTCAAGTTACAATCCTATATATACGTTTGACTTTCAATGTCAAATTTGGGTAGAACAAAAGAATTAAAGAAATATTTAAAGCTTTGAAGATAGTGTTTTTTTTTTTTTTTTTTTTTTTTTTTTTTTCTTCTTCTTCTTCTTCTTCTTCTTCTTCTTCTTCTTCTTCTTCTTCTTTTTCTTCTTTTTCTACTATCAATTTTATATTAAATTTAATTCTTTAAATTATCTATAAAAAAAATAAATGCATCAAATTTTACCTTAGATACAATGTTATTACAAATAGGAGCAAATAAAAAACTTCATCTAATAGCTTTTCATTCAAAAAATGTTTTAGCAATCAAAGCCAACTATAAGATCCACAAAAAATAATTTCTTCTAATTTTGGATTTACTTTAAGAATAGTACCATTATTTGGAAGGGTCTTTTAATTTAATGACTATTTATATAAATTGCAAGAATCTTGAGTATTTTATATTAATACATGCTTTAAATAATAACTACAAGTTTTTTAATTAGTTAATTTATGAATATTTCAAGAATATTTGTAATTAATTTATGAATATTTCTTTGTAATTGTAATATTTCTTTGAATTTTAATGATTTTATAATTAATATTACTTATTGGCTAAAAAATCAACAAAGATTGTAGAATTTCTTTTCAAGATATTATTATTTTATCTAAAAGAAGGAAAATTTAGCTTCTAATCAACAGTAAAAAAAAATCTTTTGAAGCTAAAGAAATTTTAACTTTGAGCAATAAAATCAAGATAGACTATCAAAAAATTATTTTTGAATTAAATTTATTTAATTATGTCCTTAGATATTCTTGTATATAATTATAAAAATAATCATTTAAAATTTTCCAATACTTCTAAGTTTGAACTCAAGAACAATCTTTTATATTTCAAGGGATGCTTATATATTTTAGAATGTGAAGCACAATTACGTATTCTTCTAATTTGTCACAATTTTTTAGCATCAAGAGACTTTGGATACAATAAGTCATTAAAATTAATTTCAAGAGATTTTTCATAGAGTCATAATGATGAAAGTAGTTAAAACATTTATACAATCTTGTGATATTTTTTCAAGATAAATAATTCTTTATTATTAACCTTATTGATTTATTTAGCTATTATCTATCTTTATGGATTTTATAATAATTTTTTAATTTTTAATCTCTTATGATTTTATATTTGTGAGAATAATTTTTTTTATTAAAATGGCATGTTTTTCATTATGTACAAAAATATCATAAGTGAAGAAAGTATTAGAATTATTTTTAATAATATCTATTG